CCCAACTATTAACCTTAGTTATAAAACAAGCACAAGCGAGTCGAGTCAACTGTAGCAACGCAAAATTCATTAAAGACGAACCCAGATGCAAGAGGTGGCTTACTCATCTGGATCTAGTGTAAAGACAAAAACTTTCATTAGGAGCTGAATTTGTTCCTGGGAAAATTGTATGAATTTGTTMCTGAGGAWTTAAAGGGATTTTACATTGGCTATATATTAGGCTACATTGTTGAAAATCTCACAAGCAAATGTGGCGCCCTTGGTTCTTTCAAATAATTTTCTCCTGGCAAAGTCTCAAAGGTTTTCAACGTCCAAAAAAGGCTTATTTATATGTAACGTTTTTATGGTCAAAACGACTTTGATATTACTTGTGTATGGCTTGTTGTTATGTCTAGTAAATCATCAATATGTTTTCAGCTTCTACATCTTCAATTTATGTGAAAACTACATCCTCAATTTAGTTGACAAAATTGAAAAAATCAATAGTTGAAAAAAAATTCATATCTTGGTCAATTTCAATCACACATCAACGAGTCTTTAAATTTAGATTTCCATTAGTCAGGCGCGTAGCGTGGATTTTTTATGCATATGTCAGGGACAGCGACATATATTTTGGATCTGGGGGTTTAACGAACGCCAAAGGGGGGAGTATTAAGAGAGTCTGGTCCTCCCCCAGAAAATTTTGAAAAAAAATTCAAAATTTGAAGGAAATAACTGAGTGGAAATGCGATTTCCAGCATTTTGAGGACACACCGAAAATTGTGAAAACTTCGAATGAAACTTTAGGCCCCCCCTCTGTTAATTAGGTAGTTTTACGTCCCCCCCTCCTGCATAGAAAATATCAGAGAAGTGTAATCTGTTTATACACTTATTACCTTGCTTAAGAGAAAAAAATGTGTCTTTGCGATTCAGAGACACAAACCACCTCTAGACATTTATCATTCTCCGTTCTCCTTCATTTTCATTCTAATGATGACCTTTAAGTCGAAAACGTTTAATTTTTTTTTACTTCAAAATTCTTATTCTTATCCTTACATTAATGTATACATGTATACTATTTTTCAGCAAAAATGACACAGTTGTTTCCATGTTTAAAAAACTAAAAGAAAGTTTTGGTCGAATATAGATTGCGTGCGATAGAGTCACTTGTTCACGAAATCAATACCGTGTATAACATGAAAGAGTTTTACAGTCCTAGTTGGCACAAGAGTAAAGTTCTCTGGACATGCTCTCCAGTTCTCCCTTCTAGAGTCAATCATTAAGTATGACCTAACTTTTCTGATGTCTAGTTTCTTTGTTACTCGGGTTTCCAAAGGAATCCCGAGTTTAAATTTCGGGCGTCTTTTTTTGTCGTCGTCGTCGCTTATCGATATCAGTCACAAATTGTCCAAGCTGTTCACGTGACATTCACGTCTTCCATGTGCTATCTTGGATTTTTTATGGTGATTTCTTATCAAAAGCGATCTCTATACTAACTTATACAGGCTCAGAAACTACAAAGGACTTATCAAGAAATGCCACCTTAGTTCAATTGAGGAAAAAACCGACGATTGGAAGTATTTTGTTACGCGGAAAAGATAAAGGACTCTATGTTTATATACCTCTGCGAACAGAGCTGCTTTTCTCACCCGCCGAGAAGCGAGATAAATATTTTGAGAAAAGGTATGGAACTTAGAAGATCTGGGAATATTGTGGCGGATTCGATGATAAAAAAATCCATCTTTGCTTTCTACTTTTGATGTAAGCGTCGTAGGTCGTAGAAATCGTTTTGGTATCCTACTGGGCTCACGACAGTACGAATACAAAGTATATGTCGATAATTATAATAAACAAACGTTGAATAACCAGATCTTGTAGTACTTGTAGAGGGGGACATTGGGGGCTCTGAATACCGCAATACCGCAAAAAAAATTCAAAAATCCCGCATTACCGCATGAAAAAATCCAAAATACCGCATACCGCAAAAACCAATATGGCTTTGCAACTTCGCTACAATTTGAATGGCCATCAATAAACACTGTAAACATTATAAGTGTGATAAAGTTAATAAACCTAACAAATGGCTTCTCGCAGTTTAKTTACGCTTTTACGTTCCTCYGCTSCGACTTCACAGCGGAATTTGTTTTTCTTTCTATAATGTTCTCCTCCTTTTCCTTCTTCATAGAAGAACGCCACGCATTCTATAATTACTAGCCTGTCAGACATACTTCGGACTTTACAATGTAAGACGATATACCCTGGTCCCAGAGGTTTGATATTTTCTCTCTTCGCTATTGTTTTTGTCGGCGCGAAGCGCCGTAATCGAGACCGTATGGCCGAGCGAAAATCAATGATTTTCAAAAATCAAATTKTCGAAAATCAAATGATTTTCGATATAACAATTTACGCTGAATATTTATATTGCGGATTCACTACTAGATTTTAATCAACAAAGAACCCCGATTTCACGCAGCTATGCGTCTAGTTGTTTTTGCAATTGGATAACATATAGTACTATAATAACTAGATTCAAAACTAGCTCTAGCTTTTACCAAAAACATGGATATTTTTTTCTGTTTTTCCTTTTGTTTCAGTGCAGTTTGTCCATTGCTACCGATATAATTCACATTGCACCAGCAGCAATCAGTTGCTCAGCAATCAATTCATTCTTTGTCTGGTGAGCATGCATCAGTGGTGTTTTCTGAGAATTGTCTTTGTGATTCACATTAGCACCTGCTTTGACCAAAGTCTGGACAATTTTCTTATTTCCCTTTTTTACGGCCCATATCAGGGGTGTTTGTCCCTCGTCATCCGCCACATCTACGTCTGCACCGGAGTCTATCAGTAACTCTGCAATGGTATCACCGCTGTTTAAGATAGCAATTATCAACGGCGTTCTCTGGTATCTATTTTGGGCATTAACATCTGCACCAGCTTTGATCAAGGAAACAACAGTTTTCTCGATTCCAAGAATTGTAGCCCAAATCAATGGAGTTCGTCCTTGGTCATCGAGGACATTCACATCTGCGCCTGCATTTATCAGTATTTGAGCTGTTTCTTCTTTGATGTTTTGAACAGCATGCATCAATGGTGAAATCTGAGACTTTTCTTTGATGTTAACATCCTGACCGGCTTTTATCAACTGATTTACCATTTGATCTCGTCCTTTTTTGGCAGCCCACACAAGTGCTGCACCTAAAGCTTTGCAATCACTTGCAAAAGGATCTGCACCAGCATCCAGAAGTATTTCTGCAATGTTTTCGTTGTTATTTTCGACAGCACCTATCAGTGGGATTTGTTGGTATTTATCTTTAGCATTTACATCTGCACCTGCTTTGGTTAAAGCATGAACAATTGTCTCGTTACCTTTCTCAACAGCCCAAATCAGTGCTGTCTTCCTGTCATCGTTGGCATCATTTACATCCACACCTGCTTTAATCAGCGTATCTACCATTTTGTCATTTCCCTTTTTGGCAGCCCACACAAGTGCTGTACCTAAAACTGCTTTACTATCAGTAGCAATAGGATCTGCACCAGCATCCAGAAGTGTTTCTGCAATGGTTTCTTTGTTATTTTCAACAGCACTTATCAGTGGGATTTGTTGGTATTTATCTTTAGCATTTACAGCTGCACCAGCGCGTATCAGAGCATTGACAATGTTTTCGTCACCTTTTTTGATAGCCAAGGTAAGTGCAGTTTCGTCGTTGCTATCAACAAGATTTACGTTTGCACCAGCATCAAGAAGTCTTTTTGCAATGTTTTCTTTGCTATTTTCGACAGCAATCATCAATGGTGTTCGCTGGATATTATCTTTTGGATTAACATTTGCGCCAGCTTTTATCAGAGCATTGAAGATTTTGTCATCGTTGTCATTTTTCATTGTGCCCGCATGAGGACCGGAAAAAACTGATTTTGAACTAACAGAAAGACGTTCATCTGAGGAGGTGTACAGTGTATTTTCGACAGCTATCATCAGTGGTGATCTTTGGTCGTTGTCTTTTGTATTGACATCTGCTCCAGCTTTTATCAGACTGTTGACGATTGTGTTATTGCTTTCTCTTACAGCCCAAATTAGTGCTGTTTCGCCGTTGCTATCGGCAAGATTCACGTCTACACCAGCAGCAAAAAGTCTTTCTACGACAATGTCTCCTTCATTTTCGGCAAAATTTCTCAAACTTTTGAAAAGTCTGTCTAACTTTTTTTTACCGTATGTGGCTGTAATGCTTCCAAAAAACTTTATTCTTTTTCTTTTCTTTGCGTAGTACTCCACTACTGATTTTCCTCTCGGATCAACCATACTTGGATCGGCTCCAGAATCTAAAAGTGCTTCAACAACTTCTTCTTTCCCTTCGATTGCAGCATTCATCAACGGTGTTTTTCCTGACATGTCAGTAACATTTATATCTCCATTAGTGTCTATGAGTGCGACAGCTAAAGCGGTCACGGGGTCATTTATGCTAATTTCTATTTTACCAGTGGYAACTGGTARWGGTTTTCCTTCAGTGARCAGCCAGATAATTGCAGGCCAGTTTAATTTTTCAGCCTCATAAACGATGGGCGATGATTTTCCAGTTCTATCCTTTAAAGTAACAACTGTATTTGATGCTCTCTTCGATGAGATTGTTGTATTTTCGGGATGATAACTTGGAAGCGATTGTTCTAAAAAAAAAAAACACACCAAAACATCAGTTGGAACGATGGTGAGGAACATGTGACTTCGTGCACTGAATTGAACAATAGCTAAGGCGTTTGATAATTGTTTTTTTTTTTGCGATTTTGTTTGTCTAATAACAATTCACTTCGTCGTCATTGTGAGTCCCATTCGGCTCTTAAACAGCATTAGCAACGAGTGAGGTGGCATATTATATTAAACTTTAATCGATGTTATGTAGTAATACAAACGTGACGAGCTGACAAAGGGAAGTTTGTCAATTCGCTAAGTAGAAATGGAGAATATCATTAATTATTTTTTGTGGAGAGAAATCAAATTTTTCTTGAATGCAAACTTTTGTGTGGTGCAGGTGCGGTCGCCTTGAAATACCTGGAAGGYGCATCTTTTCATCCATYAGGCGACGAGATGCCTCGTGGTATTCGTCCTCATTTATAACAATAGAAAGTTCAATTTTTGTAKTATCTTCGGGAGCACTGTTAATGAGGTCTTGATTGATGAACACGTCCTCAAGATTGTTTTTTAAAACTCCTGTTTCGTAGCTTAAAACAAAATTGAATTAAAAGCCGAGTATTCATTGAGCTACGATATATAAACTTGCGCATGACGTCTTTGCAGCTTCGTGACCATCTTGGAAAATAAACAGCTAAGCCCTTTTTGAGGAGATAGAAACGATAGTAAATCCCCTATGCACAGGATACAAGATGGAGGTTCTTTCACACTAATTATATATGAATACATAAATAACAATAGCCCTATTGGCCTTTGGCAGGTCTTAAGAAAACATTTGATAATCGATGCTATGAATGGGGTCGCCAAGGCACGTCTCAGCGGTCAATTTTTGTTGGAAATATTAAAATGCAATGACTCTTACTCTAATGGCAATACTCCATTTTCCAGTTCCAGCCGCCATCTTGAAAGGCAGCCGCGCCTTTATATCAAAGCGAGGCAGTAGTTGAGCTTGCAATGATAGAAACCTGTRAATAATTATCTTAGGTGTGAACAAAAGGTATCTATCATTGCAGACTCAACTCCTGTCTCGCTTTAGTGCAAAGGCTTGGCTACCTTTCAAGATGGCGCCTGGAATAGTAAAATGGAGAATTGTCTCACATTAGCATCTCTGCACCTCTGACGCTTTTATGTCATATGTACCTATATACAATGCATTGTAGGACATGTTTGGGACAGAAAACTGGATATTTCGTTTGTTTTCTCCAGAAACTAATCCCACAATGCATTGAAAATCAAGTAGTGACGTAAAAGGTTCAGAAGTMTATTTGAACTTCATAAAAAGTAAGACTTTCGCATAGTCAGAATTTCACCAGCCTTCCTATAAATTATTGTCACTTGCATTATCTAAAATAGCTAGTCAGAGCTAAAAATAATTTGTTACTTCTATAATGTCATCTCTACAATGATTTTTAGCTCTATCGTTTGCTATTAGCATTCATAATATTTTCCTTAAATATCGTTTACCTTTTCCATACATGCTCTAAATCTTCAAGTGTTTGAATCTCTATAAGGATTTTAAAGGAGCCTTGTAGTAGCTCACGTACAACTGCTCCGGTAATCAAACCACTTGGAAAAATGGCACTGTGCAGGAGCCGTATCATCGTGTCAGGATCGTCTTGGTATCGGTGTAAGATATAAGCACTACCACCAGCCCATACCAAGACTGTCCCAGCAGCAGTCACTTGCTTTACAACACCAGTGATTGTAATAGATGCTGAAANTGCAGTTTCTCCATTACTATCGGCATGATTCACGTCTGCACCAGCATCAATAAGCATTTCTGCGATTTTTTCCTTGTTATTTGTGGCAGCAATCATCAATGGCGATCTTTGGTGTTTGTCTATTGCATTGACATCTGCGCAAGCTTTTATTAGAGCATTGGCAATTTGGTAATTGCTATTACTCATAGCATAAATCAGTGCAGTTTTGCCATTGCTATCGGCATGATTCACGTCTGCACCAGCATCAATAAGCCTTTCTGCGAATTTTTCCTTGTTATTTGTGGCAGCAATCACCAATGGTGATCCTTGGTGTTTGTCTTTTGCATTGACATCTGCGCCAGCTTTTATTAGAGCATTGGCAATTTGGTAATTGCTATTACTTATAGCATAAATCAGTGCAGTTTCGCCATTGCTATCGGCATGATTCACGTCTGCTCCAGCATCAATAAGTCTTTCTGCGATTTTTTCCTTGTTATTTGTGGCAGCAATCATCAATGGTGAACTTTGGTGTTTGTCTTTTGCATTGACATCTGCGCCAGCTTTTATTAGAGCACTGACGATTTTTTCATCATTCTCGTCTGTGTAAAGAAAGGGGTCATGTATATCTTCGACAGCAATCATCAATGGTGTTCTCTGGTCTTCATACTCTGCATTAACATCTGCGCCAGCTTTTATCAGAACATTGACGAGGTCGTCATGGCTTCTTCTTATAGACCAAGCCAACGCTGTTTCACCTTTGCCAACATTCACGTCTACACCAGCAGCAAGAAGCAGTTCTGCGATATTGTGTGCGGCTTTTTCGGAAATTTTTACACTTTCAAAATCGGTGAAGTACTCAACTGCTGATTTTCTTTTCGGACCAAACCTACTTTGATGAGCTCCAAATTCTGTAAGAGCTTGAATAACTTCTTCTTTTCCTTCGATTTTAGCATTCATCAACGGTGTTTTTCCTGACACGTCCTTTACATTTATATATCCATTAGTGCCGATGAGTGCAACAGAAATAGCTTTCAGGGGGTCATCTATGCTGATTTCTAGTTTACCAGTGGTAACTGGTAAAACAGCGCTTCCTTTAGTGAGCAACCAGATAATTACAGTCCAGCCTAATTGTTCAGCCTCATAAACGATGGGCGGTGATTTTCCAGTTTTATCGAATAAAGTAACAACTGTATTTGATGCTCTCTTCGAAGAGATTGATGTATTTTCGGGATGATAACTTGGAAGCGATTGTTCTAAAAAAAAAACACCAAAATATCAGTGGGAACGTTGGTGAGGAACATGCGACTTCGTGCACTGAATCGAACAATAGTTAAGGCGTTTAGTATTTTTTTGCGATTTTGTTTGTCTAATAACAATTGACAGTATTATATAGAAGCCTATTTGTTATTTTTCTGAAGCTCGTAGGAAAACCTGAACCTCATTTCATCGTCATTGTCAGTCTCATTGCTCTTAAACAGCATTAGCAACCAGTGAGGTGGCATACTANTAATAGCAAAGTCACCTCTAGAAAGGAAAGTACATGTACTTAAAAAACTCATACATAATTAATGAGCTACTAGGCCAATAGAATGAGCCTATTTGGTCACATGCATGGACCTTTATATCTGATAAAACACTCCTTATTAGTATTCTTTATATAAAGAATACTAATAAGGGTGACCTTTATCAGATATAAAGGTCCATGACCCTAGCAAAGGTCTTAGGTTTGAAACCTGATCATTGACCAATGCAGGATGTCAACCGATTTCAGTGAACAGCCAAGAGCGGTTCTATTTTACTTTATGCGTATTCAATGTGGGATGACAAGAGTGCTTTGTAAAGTGATTCACGCATGATCAGTTTGCCCCATTTATCTCTGAACATATTTGTACGGCAATTTCTCCAAGAATGTTGAGAATGTTAACGGATTTGAGTTTCAAATTAGTGTTGGAGTTTTTTAAGCCATTCAAAACACTCTCTCTCGTGTTTTAAACTATACATAACTATTCAGTTATAAACTATCTTACCTTCAATGCAAGATAAAATACATGATATAACATTGATCAAGAAGATCTGCAATAAACAGAGAGTAGCATTATTAACTGAATGAGTATAATTGGATGAAAGTAAGTTTTCTTCACTAAATATAGTACAATAAAAATAATTATTGTGATCTAATAAGTACATGTAGTATAACTAATATACAAAAAAAACATAACTTCAACTTTAGTAGTAAGTGCAGATTCTTTGTTTAACTGTAGATGACATAAAGATAAGACGAAAGCTTCTCAAGCAGCCTGGTGGCGAAATTTCAGTACCTGTCCCAAGGACAAACCAGAAAATCAAAAGCCAAATAAAAGAAAGAGTAGCAAATGGAATTTACAACTTGGGTGTCCCTATAATGGAGACTGAATGCCAGAAGGCTATAGTAACAAAAGAAGGCAAGTTCGAATTCAAGTCATTTAATGTGTCAGGGAGAAAGATTCCCCTCAAAGAAATAAGACAAAAAACACTTGAAAGAGAAAAGCAGTACTGCAGATATACCAATAATGAAAACTATGACATACTTCCAGAGGATGTGGTGGATGAACGGTTGAAAAGTTTGGGAGAGATTTGTGGTGGCAGTCTTACAGAGAAGAGAGAGCATCTCAAGTCTATTGCAAGAGAACGCAACTGGATGATTTGGCATGACCACTCATCAATGGCAAACAGTGGGTTTATGCTTTTCTTGATGCGTCAAATTTATGACCCAGCATTCCATCTGACTAAGTCAGAATACAAACAGAAAACTGGGAAGGTTATCGATATACAAGCGACGATAGAGAAACCCCACCTCTACATCCTCGGCAAGGCCAAGGCAACTATGGAAAACCAACTGAAATTTGTCAGCACAAGACATGAGTGCTTACAAGAAATGTCCCAGCCATTGAAATCTGATAACACACCAATAAAAGATACAATGCGCCTCATGAATGGAGACAAACCAGCAGTAGAATTTGAATGTGGGAATCAAAAGGGTGGCCATTACCCCTGCTCTGGTTGTGATGCCCACATGTCGATGGCTGATGATTACCATCACAATAAATACAGAAATCATAGAACACTTGAAGAAAGAAAAAATATTGTTCTAGCTGGAAAAATGGGAAAAATAAAAAAAGTCGATCCTTTCAAGAAGCTAAAAAAAGCTGAATTAGTGAATGAGCTTAAAGCAAGGAATAAAGATGTCAGTGGTGACAGAAAGAAGCTAGACATTCGTCTTCAAGAAACGCTACGGGGAGCAACCAACGTCCCACCACTTCTAACTAGTGATCTCTCTGTTAATGATCTCAATTTACAAAATTATGAGGTTTTATCATTTGAGCCACTTCATGACACCATGAATCATATCCGCAACATTATCACAGAATTGCCACAGCACATTACAGATCCAAAAGTGCTAATTACTTTCAAGCAAATCATAGCAGTATTGTTTGATAAGGAGAAAGTCAGAGGAACTGACTATCGTAAGGCTTTATTGAAATTAACAGCAGCAATCCTTGGAGATGTCTCCCAGGAAGTGTCAGACCTTCTACTATCTTTCATTGAAATGACCAAGATCTATTATGCACATGACGAGGAGCGCTGCCCGAGACAGATCCTGAGGTTGTACAATTTATCGTGGCTACACAGCAAAATGACCACAAGAGTACTGTGTCCTCCAATATCACTGACCTACAGAAAACTCTTTGGCATCTACTATCATGCTGTCATTGATCATGCCCCCCTTATTCACCGCATCATCTGTCTGAGATCAATTAATGCAGAGCAAACAGAGCGATGCTTCGACCAGATTGTCGACATTACCAAAAAAACCTGGAACAAACAAGTTGAAGACCTTGCTTCTAATGCATTTCTACATGTTCAAGCAGAAGAGCTCATCAAAGGAAAAGATGAAGTACAAGCACAAGACAGGGAAATCAAGAGAATAGCCTCCTGCTTACCAACACTGAGTAATTCAATAGTATCAAAAGATCTAATGACAAAGAAAGCAAAAGAGTGGCAGGCACACTTACTACAAATTGCTGACTTTCTTGTACCTGGACCAGGTGTATGGTGGAATTGGCAAGAGGATGGTGGTGTTGAGTTCCATGATGCTCCTACAGAACAGAACACCAGACCAGATGGACCATCCATGCATCATTTCAGGTCAAGCTCTATTGTCAAGGAACTATCGTTTCTGAAAGAGTGTTGGGAGAGATGCTGCGATGAGAATATAGAGCTTCCACTGTATAAGAGATACAGTGACGAGGGGAAAATTGTTTTTAATAAACACCCTCCGTGTGACAACGCTGGAGAAGATGGTCAGGATGATGAAGAGGATGTCATAACAGAGCAGATGGAAGTAGTGAGAAGTTTTGATGAAGAAGACAGAGAAACAGATGATTACAGTGACATGGATAATGGTCACTATGATGAAGCGGAGGTCATCACAGAGCAGATGGAAGTAGAGAAAAATTATGATGAAGAAGGTAGAGAAACAGATGATGACAATGACACGGATGATGAATACTGTGAAGAGAAAGACGGAAGCGTTGAGGAAGATATTGACGAAAGGGAAGATAATAAGAATAAAGAAACTCATGGAATTATTACTGGTAGTGACAAAGAAGAAACCTTGTCAAGAAAGAGAAAAAATGATGACCCTATCACCAGCATAAGCAAAAAGCTATGTACTAGAACTCTTAAAACAAAGACAGCTAAAGCTGTAGAATTGATAGTAGGAAAGTCACAAGAAGTTGAAGAATTTGATAATATGAAGTACAATCTAGGCAAAAACCCTCAATCACGATACTATATTGACCACTATGAAACATCACTGGCTAAAGTGCAAGTGCTGGTACTAAAGGAGTGTACAGCAATCAGCGAAAACATAAAAACTTGGGACAAGGACTTTTTTGAAAGAAACAGTTCACTTCCTTCAAATACTGACTATCACAAAGACAATGACATCATTGAGTTGCTTAAGAGGAAAAATGCAGCAAGCCAGTTACTTAAATCATGGAACATGACAATTCAGCTGTACTAATGCTTTAAATATTAAAGAATAAAGTATAAAAAGCCTATTAGCTGAAAAAAAAATTTTTCAGTACATTGTATTTTAGATATTGTACTGTAAGAAAAGTATATAAAATATCATATTTTTTTAGATATTGTAAATAGTGCAAAAACACCTATTGTAATTGCAAGAATGCTGTCTTATAACAAAGTAAACATCATAAAAAAATCATTATTTCTAAAATTTTTATTTCTCTAAAATTATAATGTAACTTTGATTTGTTTATGAGACTCCTTATTGCAATTAGGTGTAGCTAGTAGGTAAACCTTGTTAACTTGTTATATTACACATGTATAATTTGTATTGGCTTTGTAAATAGTATTTAATTGTATAGTATTTTGAAGTTTTTATCAGTTTCATAGCTTCCCAAGAGAGCAAATGATACAGGAAATGGCGAAAAAATGTTATCAGACAGGATTGTATAACACTGAGACTTGGAACTAGTGAAACGTTGTAATGATCTTTCCACACAAAAAAGTTGTTTAATTAATTTATATTTATTTGATAAAATAATAAAATTGTGCCATGGAGCTTACCTTATTTTTTGAA